TTTTTTTAGTATTAAGATCTAAATTTACATAATCGTTTACTTACCAAGAAGAGCGATGATAGCAATTATTTTGAACATTGTTTTGGTTTAGTTTCTTTTAGTATCCTCTTCGCTCGATCAATTGATTTTTTTCAGTAATATATTCCTATCATATATAACATCGAATCATGATGAATATCACGCCATTTTCATTTATTCATCTGTTATATTTCTCATTTCCTATCTATACTCCTTATTTTCTTTCTTAGTTAAAAGACGAAAAACGAATAAAAAAAAGTGTTTATGACTGAGGCAACCAATCATCGTTTATGTTCTTTTCTTTTTTGAAAAATAAAATGAATAAAACTGACATAAGACGAAAAAAAGATAAAAAAATGAAATAATGAAACTAATCTGTTGTTTCTGTCGCTGAACGCATTGCTGGAATAAATCCTGCCGCTGGTCCATTATAATATTCATGTGGAATACGTGGAAAATTAACTAAGACCGGACTTATTGTATCAGGCATATATTGTTGTGTATTGAACTGTTGATTAAAAGGAAATGGTGCTACTAATGATGTTCTTGCTGATGGAGGTAAACCAAATTGTGGTACATTTGATGGTTGGAAGAAAGAAGGTATGTTAGCTTGTGGTACACCTGATGGTGCCATTGGTGATGAATAAGTTGGTTGTGAAAGTGCTAATTGAAGACCTGATTGTGCTAAATATGCTGAAAGTGGAGATTGTGGCATTGCCGATTGTGTTACACCACCGGCAAATGATACTAAAAGTGAAATCAATATAATCAAGAATACAAACAATCATATAAAACTAACATGGTTGACCGAATGACGAGAGAAGTGAAGTGTACGGTGCTGGATTAACTAAAGGATGAAATAAGAAACGAACTGAGATTGAACAAAAAAAAAAGAAATAATTCAAATAGAGAAATATACCTGGACAAAGATCAGATGTAGGTGGAAGGAAATCGCAAGGTAGAAGATCAAGTGAAGGTGCTGAACATTGACTTTTAACAACTAAATAGAAAGTTATGTTTAGTAATTAGAAACATTTCATCTTTAAACAAACCTCGACAAAATGGTTGACAAGGAACAACTGCTGGAGGTTCATATCGTGATGGACATGGTGGAAAAAGTAATGGACATATTAAAAGACGTAATGAACGAGTACATGTTGGATTTGTTGGTGGTGATGAACCAAGTATAGTATTTAAAACTTGTGTTATTTGCCATCGTTCAAAATGACCAAATGAATTTGGTAAAGAATATCGAGCTTGTGGTACAGCACCGCAAAGATCCGAAAATAATGGATATTGTGGATCAAGTAATGCATAGCAAGTTGGTGCATTGTTTACATATGGACTATTATCGACAGCACCACCAACAGATGGCATTGATCCAGGATAAATCGATGTAGGATAACTAAAAACAATGAAGGTAAAAGAAGAAAAAACAAAACGATCAACAATAAAATAAATGCTTGATTAACTTACTTAAGTCCATAATCAACTAAAGACCCATCATTTGAACTGAAATCGTCATTTGATGATGGTCGACGTACTCGTGCTCGATAATTTGCTGGTAATGAATTATATGAAGAATATCGATTACGACGATTTGATGATGATCGTGGATAATTATCTTCATGTTTTTCTTGTTTATCCTTAGTAGTATCAACAGCCGCTGGTTTGCGATCCGATGTAGAAGTACCTTTAAAAACGGAATGTAAATTTTATTTAAATATTCAATTTTCGAAGTAATAAATTATTTTGAAAACAACATATAAAATTTAAAAAAAATGACTTATTAGTTTCAGCAATCTTCGCAATATCTGTTATATATTTTTTTATAATTATATTTACCTTTTCGATCTGGTAAATCCGTGGATTTTGCATATACAACGATAAGAAGGAGTACCACAAGTAGCAAGCATATTTTATTTTGCATCGTCATTATACGTACAATTCACTCGATGGTTAGAAAAAATGAAAGTGACCATATACATGAATTTGTCCGCAATTCATATAGAGAGAACGAGAAAGAATATTTATCTAGGTCTATCGTTTTCTTTCTCTCTCTCTCTCTCTCTTTCTTTCATTATTTCGAAAGATAAACGTACGATGCCTCGATTTAATTCTTTATGCATATACAACAAAAATAGAAAATCGTACAAAGACTACGTATGAGGCATAAACGGCTCAAATACCCGAAAAAAAGTCTGCTTTGACTATACCACGTTTTTCAATTACTCCTTATTTTACTGCATATGATCCAGCTAAACCTACACCAGTTATAACAAAAACTGTTGAACGATTATTATCTGATGCAGGCATATGATTTAAAAAGAATAAATCTATTCATGTTCATTAGTTTTTATAGGTTCATTTGGTATTTATCAAATATTTGTATTTCTTATAATTGGTCTTCTTGCTGTTGTTCCATCAATGGTTAGTTTTTCCTATGATCTTAATCTTGGTACACCAGATCATCGTTGTCGTNTTCGAATTTTTTTATCTAGTCACTGGGGGATACTCCATGACAATCGAACATTTTTCTAGAGGGAACCATTAACCATCTACTATCATTAGACAATACTTGCAATGAATATCATTATTCAATAATGAAGGTTTTATAGTAGATATTAATTGCGCAACAGATAAAGAAGATGATGATATACAAGGTTTTGTGCTAGATCAAGCAGATAATCAAAGTTCATCCAAGTTCAACGTAATTATGGTGAGAAAAAAACAATACAATAGATAACTAAGATAAACACAAAGTAAAGACAAAAAAAAACCAAGAAGTGAAAGATAATATTATTATTCTTTTTTATTGATCATCTTTTATGAAAATCAATCAATTAAACCTTCATGCAACTGTGTTCTTATATAATAAAGAAAGAATTCATTATGAATTGCATATGCTAGAATGGATTCGATTTGATTCAGTTTCAGTCTCTGTATTATATTTATTGAGTTAATTTATTTTGTTTAATAATAATATCCATGAATGTAGTTATATTCTTGTAAGTATAAATGATTACAACAGAAAGTATTATAACAATTTGTATGCGTGTCTTTATATGTTCATTATATTTTTTTAATGATAAGTCGTTTTATAAAAAGATTTCCGGCAAATACATGGAAATTCTTGACAATAAATGCTGGGAAAATATGAATAGATATTTCGAATTTAAAATCATTGATTATTCATCTTCTTCTTTATAATGCTCGTTATAATATCTTGTACATAATATAAAAGTTATTTCTTTATTATCTGTATTTGATATAAGGTCTCTTACGATATCATAGAAAATACATTCTGTATTAAAGCTAGAAGTGTTGTTTCTTGTCATCGCTGTTATGTTCCAGGAACTAAGTAGAAATGATGATAACATTTTATCAACGATGTTATCAAAAATTGAACTAGGATTTTTCAATCACATGACGCTTATGAAAATTATAATGTCGACACGAATACAACCAATAGTATGGTTAATATAATTACATATAAGCAAACAAAATTTCCTTCATCTATGAGTAGTATTGTTATTCGATTTGAATTCAAAACAGGACAATAATCTAATCAAAAAGAGACATAAACTGATACTTTATTATATTGCCTATTTTGCTATCTCTTTTCATGAAATAAAAACGATCTAAAAAATTCTAGTAAAAAACATAAGAGTGTTATTCGACTTCGATTCGATTACAATAAAATAGCTACGAACATTTCGTCTATGAAAGACAGTATCGAACAAACTCTAGGAAATAATTCAGTAAATATAAATCGAATAATCGATATAAAATTATGATAAAACATTCAGATGAACAAATTGTTTAATAGGAATAAAATTTATATAAAATAGTTTTCTTAATTAAATAGTAATGGATTCGAATATTTATGTTTGCATATTTGGATTAATTGAAGCAATACGTTCATCATGTATATCGAATTTCCATTCTGTTACTGGACATGTAACACCATCAAAAGGTTGTTCTAATGAAAATGATTGTTTATCGGCTTGAACATCGATTCGAGAGACAATTTTACGACAAGTAAATGTTGCTTCTGGTGTTGGTTGATATTCTCGTTCAGGTATAAAAGCTCGACCACCAGAATCAAGTGTTACAGAAATTGATTCGTCAGCATTATTATTTGCCTTCGAAGAATAATGAATCGTACATAACACTGGTTTATTTGTTTTATTGGATATAATTCCAGCATAGACATGACGTGGTGCAATACATAAAGCTGGTGAAGCACACATGTTTTTTTTCTTAATCGTTGATATAACTATAATAAAATTCGTCTGCGACGATATTTGATACGCTCACCGATAAGTGTGTATGTATTTACGATTCTTCACTCACCGAACACAACAACAATAATGAATAAGACAAAATAATGCTATTACTGCATCATGCAATAAAGCAACGAGTCATCGGGATGATTGATTTCATTTTTTTTCTTTCCTCTTTCTTCTGTCTACACTTGGAGAGCATACATTGTGTACGTGCTGACATTGAAATCATAGCAGCTCTGACATAAATAAAAGATTTTAGTCATACTCATGTAACTTTTATCTTGTTTTAATATGATATTAATAATAATTATTATTCTCTTTATCTCGCAAATATTTGATCGTATACGAGATTATAAATACTGACAAAAAATTTTTTTAAAGATATTTTAGGAATGCGAGTATTATGGGTGGTGGTAATAATGATGAATTTACAAAAAGAAAATTAAATGAAGGACGAAAAATTATTGAGTACGAATTTGATAATCGCCATTTTGTGTTATATATCGAACCCATGGTAATGCTTGATAACCACTTTTTTCGATTATTTTTAAATATCGCACCTACAAATTCAATTATACAATGAAAATGAATTAAAAAACAAATTTTCTTTTTTTACCTGAATGCCTGATGTAGTAAAATAAGGTATTTCAAATTTAACTTGAATTGGAGGTTTTGCTTCTTGATCTTCACTTTGAACACTTGGTAATTTAAAATGAGCACGCATTAAAAATTCTTTTCCACCCTATATATTAAGAAACAAATGTCAAAAGAAACAGTACAATAATATAAAATACTAACTGGAAATGATTTAATTGACCAAACCATAGAATTTTTTTCTGGAACATATTTAACAGCACCGCATGTTGCTTTAAATCGTCCTGTATCAGCATCCGATGGAACAGGAATAATTATTTCAACATTATTTGCTGTTGAACGTCGTTTAAATTGAGATTTAGCTTTGATCATATATTCAACACGTGAATGAGAATGTTTTTCAATTGATGATTCAATCCAAATTAATGGTTTAACCTTACATAATTGAATTAAATATATAGATATATATATATATTATAAATGAAAATATCTACTTGTGTATTAAGTCGATAGGACATTAATTCAAATTCTCCATCAGGAGGAACAAATGAAATCGTTCGATCATTCTCAAAACGAGATAAACGAACACATTGATGAAATTTAACATCTTCTAATTCGACACCTTTGTTCTTTGTACCTAAATATCAGAATACAAAAAAAAAACAAAAGTTATCTAATCCATTGTTCAATCAAAATAAACATACGGCCAGTAGTTTCAAAAAGAATTTTATCATTAAGACCTAAGCGCAGTTCAGGCATACCACTAAGATAAACACGCATTTTAATTGCTCCATTAATTTCAGAACGAAGAACATTTCCATTTGAACTTACCTATATACAAAACAGAACAACAATAATAATTACTCTATAATTACTTAAATATATGATTTACCAAAAGATTAACAGATTCAATAACATCAAGAAAAACTTCATTTTTTCTGTATTTTAATCCATCAGATCGCCAACTAACTGTTTGTGTTAATGCTGGTGGTGGACGAACTTCTTCAAGTTTATGACCTTCTTGTGTGATATATTCTTGAAGAATTTTTGAATCGGTCGATTGAGGAAAACCAAAATCCATGAGTTCATCAAGTAATTCATAAACAATAACAAAATTGTCACGAATTGATTCTTCTTCAAGTTCTTTAAAATATTCACAAAATACACGAACACATTTATAAAGAAATGATAAAACCATAATAACATTCGCATTAATCTTCGTTGTACATACAACTATAATTGTTAGAAAGAAAAAAGAAGAAAACCTCACTAAGTACAAGATAGAAATAAAAATAAAAAGAATCAATATACTAACGATAAACATTATTATACTTAATATAGACAAAAGCAATATCACCATGTTGAAAAATAGGTGATAACTGAGATTCATCTTCTTTTTCTAATAATAATTGCATAAATTTTTCAATAACATTCATTTCAATATCACCACGATAGTTTCGAGATATGAGCACCTAAATATCATATGAGATTTTTTAATAATAAAAGTTAAAGATTGAACTTACTTTGCCCTTCATGTCTAAGATATAAATAGCCGATGCCGACATAGCTTATAAATTGTTTGGTACTTTGAAAATGAGAACTAATAAGTATCAAAATAAAGGTAAGAGATAAGAAGAGATTAGAATTTCTTTTTCACTTTTTTTTCTACTATATTATCACCTCGATTTGTTGATTGATTAGAGTAATGAAGTCAGTCTTAGTCATTGATAGCTAGCATCGTCCAATCATGATAGTTCGATCGATAGATGACAGACAGAGTCGAATGTTGTTACAAGAAAAAATCTACCCATTTTGTCTTTGTACAACATCAAAATATTGAGAGAAAGATATTGTGTAGTAGATTTATTGTCTTGTCAAAATATTTTTATAAGGATATTATTAATCTGTGTGATTGATCAACATATGATTCAGATCGCATATAAACAGGAATATTGAAAGCCAAATGATACTGTGACGTGATCCTACGTCGACATTAGTGGTGCTGCCATGGGTGGATTAGGATGTGTTCAGGCCACGCTGGGTTACGTAGAGTTCACATTGAGTGATTTTTAAAGATATGTTACAATAGCCGTTTGAGTGAGTTAGAATAGACTCAGACCACTACGAACTTACCATGAGCTAAAGGATACATAGAGTGATCAATAGGTGTCCTTAACTTCTGAAGAATTATTTTAAAGAAACTTTGAATGGTTATCACTTTTATTGAGAAGAATAGCACTTCTCTATAAAACGAATTTTTCTTGACTCTTCGATTATGAGAACAAAGAATTTCCTGCATATTTATGGATTAAAAAAAAGAGCACACAAATCAAACAAATGGTTAAGTAATAATGTTACCATAACAATCGCCATTATTACAAAGAGAATCTCGAGAAATATAGCAAATTCATATGTTTAAGTAGTATTATCAAAATTCACAACTAATACCATGATGATTAAAATAATATAATCGACGAAAATGCATAGTGCTGTAAACAGGATCTCTTTCACGGATACAAATTAACATTCCGAGAGAATGAATAAGAAATTTTAAAAGATTAAAGAATAAGATACAATAGGTAATCCAATTCGGTGATGTTTATGTCTAACTAGTAGACCAGGATTATGTAAGACAGTTAAAGCAACAATGGGTATCAATGATCGGATTTCATTAGTAATATTCAATGTATCTACACCCAGTACTGAATAATAAGTAACATCAAGAGGAATTACGCATATGAATTACATCAATATGGGCTAGTTTAATGACATATATCGGTTAAAAAATTTCTCGAGTTTACTTGTTGCATGAAAAGAGGAAATTTTTGAATGCTTGCTACTTTCTGATTATGATCAGATAATGATTGTTTGATATTCTCATTTTCATTTGATGGTATTGTCTTATTCATTTGCAGCAACACATTGACAAGAATCTTTTTATAATATGCAACAGATGATATTTTCAAAAACCATGCTCGCACATTTTCTTCATTGCTGATACATGTCATGGCTATCATTAATGCGATATAAACTAGACAGCAAAGGTATAAGACACCTTAAGTATTTTGGTAATTACATTTTAATGAAAAAATAGACAATTTTCAAAAATATATCATTGGATGCAGAATTGAACAGGCGGCATTCTATCATAAAAAGTTTCGAAAAATTATTAACTATTATATTTTGATATTATTAATTAGTAATTTTTATTAAGTACTAAGTAGAGAAATGTTTTGTTAGATACTTTGGTCTTCAAGTATTCTGTTAAATTGAAAACTGAATAATATTGTGTAATTATTATTTTGCAATAACTATTCACAACAGAATTTCTTTAAACACTAATTACAATTTAATTAATACTATATTCATAATTAAGACAAGTGAACTCCAAGTATAGACTTCAGATTGTCAAAAATAGTGCATTTTGTACAGCAGACTTTCCTTGATCAAATGAGATCTTGCAATCTTTCGCGCAATTAATTTCTCATCAGAAAACGCACTCTGAAGATACTCACGTATGGAGCAAACGAAAAGTATCTGAAACTGTAGGACAACTATCAGCTTTCAGAAGTTATGCTGATACATTGTCTTTTCTCGAAACTTTCACAACCTCATCAGAAGCTGGTACAGTATTCTTACCAGCAAACTCTTCATGATCAATCGAGGAACATACGATTTGCTATGAAGCGCCTTGATTGTCTATTGTGCCAAGATTGAACATTTCATAAAACTGTTCTTTCCATCGATTTTATTGATCTTTATTATTGGCTAAAGCAGTAATGTCGTTCTTATCCTGAGTCAATGCGTGGTTTATACTCATGCCGTTTACACACAAACTTCGAGATGATTTGAAAAGCCGTTGCTGGATCGTGTGCGATGCAAGCAATTCAAACTTTAAGTAAAATATTTTTGCCTTTTTTTCTACATAGATCGATAGAGTGTGAGTCGCTGATCACGAAAAACTTGAAGATACTCGTCTGTTTCGAAAAACACAAGTTTTTTTCAAATGTGCAACATTGTTTACTTCCTTCATTTTGGAAGCTTCTGAAAATATTTTTTCAGGTTCAGTATGAAAAACTGAGTATAGAAAGGTTGTTAAATCGAGTTCAACTCCAAAAATCTTTTGAGAATGATGCTTCGAAACCCACCGAATGTGATGCGTATCGGTCGATTTTGTAAACCTATCTAGTTTTTCTGTATAAATGATGAAGGCAAATATTTTATCTCATTCGACTCATCATACCACCATTCACAAAAGTACGTTCCGTTATCTTTTTTCTTTCCTCTCTTGTGTCGAGAAAAATCGTTTATCCCAGCAGCATGTGAGCAAGGGCAAGGTCATTTTAAAATAAAATGCGTATTTTTTACTC